CAGGAAAGGCACCTTGGGGGTACTTTTGCCTGGGGTGTCTCCATATAAAACATCTCAAACTGCTGACATGGGAGCGTATTTATACAGACCCTAAACCCTCAGCCCCTGCCTGCAGCTGCTTTTTAACTTCCATTTTGGTTTTCTGCAAGTTTCCTTTCTAATCTTCAGTTACCCCACGAGGCGCAGACACGTCAGTCCGTGCAACAGAAACTTTCCGGGATACCCGCGCTTGCGAGCTGCGCCCACGAACGCCCCAAGTTTCCTTTCTTAAGGACAAAGACTAACACACCTTTATCAAGCATCTGCAATCCTTAGGCATATACTTATCTTCCAAGCATCTCCTCCTATTTCCTATTCCCAGTTTGGAGACATCCGCTTACGGACATCAAGCCTTTTCCCGGACCAGTTTTTACTGGCAGAAGCATTACGGGCAGAAGCAGTTATAGCCGCAGGTTTCTATGGCGGCTTCATGATTTATACCAGGATCCCAGAGAAGCCAGTAGAAATAGTGCTTTCCTTTATGCCTGTTTTCCCTTCAGGTCTTCAGCTCTACCTGAAGTATCTCACAACCTCCCCTATGCGCGCAGACTCAGGAATTTAAAAGGCATACTTCTGCTATTTTTGAATCTAAAACAAAAGCAAAAATAACAGAGCAGACAGTTCCACGTCACAAACTTACCGCATGGAAAGCTTATTTTAAAATAAACAGCCTGCCTCCCAGCTTTTATACAAACGCCAGTTATGTCGGAGCGTCAGGAGAACCGATCACTTCTCCTCTTACACGGCCGAGCGCTTGAGCACAACGCGTTCCCCCGCGAGCAGGTACCGGACACAGCGGGGCCGCTGGCAGGCTCGGAGGGGGCGGGCGCCAACACAGCGGCTTTTTTTTTTCTCCCACCGGGGAGAGGCACCGAGGGGTGCTGGGGACACCCGCGAACAACTTCGTCGCAGCTCCGACACGGCAACCAGCCTAACCGGCATCAACGTCCAGCCGCGTTGCTGTCGTCTGCCGTTTTCTCCCCAGCCCGCCACCCCGTGCGACCCCCTCCCCAGCGCCCGTCCCTGGACTCTTGCGATTCTCCCTTTCCTATTCAGCTTTCTTGCACTACCGCGACACCGTTTCGATGACTGCAGGGATACAGCAGCGGTTTTGCACAACTCAGTACCGGGCAGCCGAGAGGGGAACAGTTATTCACTTCCCCGGATACAGGAGCTAGGGATTACCAAAAGAAATTACCAGGCAACAGGTTTAAAACAAACAAAAGGAAGCATGCATAATTCAGCTGTGCCACTCGGTGTCACTTCTACAAAGGCCAAACGCAGAAGTGGATTAAAAAAAGAAGTTAGACGAGTTCAGAGAAGGTCCATGGCTATGACAGTGGTCCAGATGCAACACAACCCCAAAAGGCCAATTTTGGGAGCCCCGCTGAGGGAGCAATGCTGTTTGTGTTTCTTCTGTTCTTTGCCTTAGCAAATACTCCCTAAGGGCTGCTGTTGGGGCCACCTTACTGTGCCAGGCAGACCTCAGCTCGGGTCAAACTCGGGGGGGTTCCTGCCTTCCTAGGGAAAAGGTCTGCTCCAGTGTCTGGAGGCTTCACTCTGCACTTTCCAACCTCTCCGGCTGGCAATACCGCTCTTACCTCTCTCTTCACAAGCCTGCTCCCTTCTGCATCCCCTACTCCTCCGTTTTCCATGCTTCGTCCTAGCCAGGACGGCTCGTCCTTCTGCGCCTTCTCCTGCGGTTGAGGCGCCCACTCTTGCTTTGCTCCTTTCCGAGGGCTTTGAGCAACCAGAATCCGCACATGCAACTCCCAGCACGTCTAAGGGAAGCCGCTGCTGTCCAGCGCAACGGCTCAGTCAGCTGCAGATGCTCCCAAATAATCCCATTTTAATGGTGAGACTGCACGAAACTCCCTCACCTTCCCCGTGAGCCCCACAGCGGTTACATCCGCCCCCAGGTCACAACGCAGGACGAGCCATTAGGAGTTGGCTTTTCTTGTTTGCTTGGGGGGTGGTTTTTGTTTTTTTTTTTTTTTTTTTTAAGCAGAATGAGATGTCACATATGACCGATAGCCTGTCGTCGCAGTGTCACAGGGACTTAACGACAGCCCCGTTACTCAACGGCAGTCAGAGGAAAGATAAGGGAATAACAGGAAGGAAAGTATTTATAGCCTGTCAGATCCAGGTCAGGCAAGGAAAGAATCTCTGCCCTCCCAGTTAAAATAGACCCGATGCATTCTCGCCTTCACATGCGCGCACAAAACTGCCAAACAAGGAACAAAACTCACACGGAAACGAGTTGTTCTGGACACAAAAACCCATCTCGGAGTAGGTTGATGTAGGACATTGAAGGCAGAAATTGCACTGAGTAAAGGTTCAAACAAGGTGGTCCACAAAGGGGCTCTAGAAATCTCGCAGCAGGTACGCGCACGCAGCCACGCTCGGCTGCGTATCGGGGCACCCACGCATTTCACCACCACCACCAGAGCTGGCTGGCTGGCTGCAGGGTCTCCCCACGTCCGTGCTCAGCCTACAGGACCCACTTTGGCCAGAAACACACATCCTTTAAGCAAGGCAAGAGCTTCACCCCAAAGTACTTATAACCTCCTTTGGACACTTCTGTTAGCCAGGATTCTCTAGTGATGAGACGCTGCAGAGGGACGGCCAAACCATTTCAGTTTGAAGCACCCACGCACAACTTATCTTCCTGCCCTTGCACATGCAAAGCCCATCCACCAGGACAGAAGTGTCCAGCGGTGCCCTTCCCTATCTATTCTCAGAGAAGAGCAATCCATCAGGTTTAGCCATAACCCAGTAAACGCTTTCTCTGGCACACCTACACTCGGTAGTTACAGCAGAATAAATGAGGACACAAACCGGAAGCGCAGCAGCTCTCCCATCGCAGGCAGCAGGGGAACACCTAGCACCAGCTCATCTCAACTGCCTTCATCCATCACCCGGCGCCCCAAGAGGCGCTCCCAACCCGCAGCAGAAGGCTCCAGCACAGACCTCTTGGGGAGCACTGCTCCAGGAGGCTTCCCAGCTCGCACAGCTACATCATCTCACAGCACCGGAGAAATTAAAGACAGATCTTCTTAATCCAATGGAGACTTAAAATAACGTGCAGAAGACAAGGTACCTGAAAATACTAGCAGTAAGGGCACTTGCCTAATTAAATACAACTCTCATTGTAAAACTCCTCACTTGCTGCACCGTCATTAAAAACACTTGCAGACTTTAGACCAGTAGCAATTCATAGGCAGTACAGGCACATATTGGTAACTACAGCTATCTAAAAAAATGATTTATTTCAACGGGGAAACAGCGTAGGCTACATTTCCATCCCCTTCCAGCTGCTGACCGCCTGGCACAGACAAGATCCTTGGCAAATGAGAAACGCCCCCTTTCAAAAAAATAATAAATAAAAAGAAAATTGTAGAGTAGATTACAAATTGCCTTTCTGTCCTTTCTCAGTCCCATCACACATATAATGAGCTTCACTGGCCCAGGCTCCGGCACCCAAGGGAGCAGACCCTGCGGTCCCTCAGCCAGGCTAAAGCGAGACGGCAGGTTTAACAGAGGCGGCTCGCGATGGGACCACGGAGGTTTTTGGGCTGCTTGGACAGGGATCCGCTGTGGGCTCGGACGCGACGCTGCCTCGCGCTGAGCATCCCACCGCACCGGGCGCTGGGGCGCGCGGGAGTCATCCTGCAAAAACCAGCTAGCAGCAAAAGCAGCAGCAACAAACAGAGCACCAGAGAAACCTGGCTGCAGTTGGTTTCAGTTGTCGGCTGAAACCAAGACAACTTAACAGAACGTGATTAAAATAGTGCCTGTGGTTAGGCAGACCAAACTAATTAATTTGTCTCTCTGACGTCCAAATTCTCAACAGCAGAAGCAGGCTGACACCAAAAAGCACTGTGCAAGATTGGACTTAACAGGCGTTCTCAATTCACTTCATAATCCTGTTAAGAGAAGGAGCAGGGGGAAAAAACAGCCTTCTTGGATCAGGTCAAGCTCTTTGAGAGTTAGGTTTTTGGATTTTCCAACGCGCACAGGAAAAACATTTCTCACTCTTGGTGGTACAAGGGCATTAACAGGCAGCAGGGCTGCTAAAACACCAACGGATACTGCTCGTGCTTTTCTTATTCTTCTTAATCCTCAACCCCAGAGCTTGTTTGCTTTGAAACCCCACCAGAGCAGGTGCCAAAAATGCAAAGTCCTTATCATGTGTCAGCTGCCCAGCAAACCTCAGCCGGCGGCGGGCGGGCGCTGCTGGCATGCCCTGGTCCAGGCTCAGCATCCCAGCTGTCTGCAGGGCCCCATCACAGGCAGCTTGTCAAGCCGCAAGCAAAACCCAGATATGGAAAAGGCACTCTGGAAACAACCATGCTGAGACAGCAAGGCCCAGGATTAACTGCCGCTTAGAGAAAGTCTTGCCAGAATGTAAAAAAGAAAGCCCCAAGCCAGCCCTATTCACGTACCTAGGGCGGTGGTTATTTAACGGATCCTCTCATAGCAACACCAGGGCTGGCCCAAAGAGCGGGGCAGCTCTTCCTTGCCCCTTCCAGCTCTCCACCCATTTCTGCAGCATCTTAAAGTGTTTTTACAGAGGCACCATGGAGGAAAAAAAAAAAAAGAAAGAAA